TCATTGAAAATTTTTTTTTCCCCGAAACATTTTTTTTCGAAATCTATATGAAAAATAAGGATATACGTATTTTTTTATTTTTTTATTTGATAAAAATGAAGGAAGTTATGATTTTTTTAAATTTAACGTCAACGATGGAAGTGTGTTTTTGGGACATTTTTTAATCTATTGTACTAATAAATTAAAAATTATGCTATATATGAAATTTGTTCATTTTTTCTTAAATTTTTCAAATATCTGCTCAAAAATAACGTACCTATAACGGAAACAACAAAAAAATTGAAATTAAACTTATAAAGTGAGTTTTCTCAAGAGACACTTTCGACTTTTAATTTTTTTTTGCATTACAATCTCTGGTGACTAAAGAATTTTTTCCCCTATCTGCGAAAGTGGTACTTTTAGTTTTTAAATTACTATTTACAATTTTTAAGCTGGAAGCAACGATTTTTAGTATGTTTTTATGAAAATTAAAAAAAAACAAATGAATGTTAATGGAAAAAGGCTATATTTGTAGAAAAAATGCTTAAATTCTGTGAGCCGTACTAAAAATATTATAAATAGTAATTTAAAAACTAAAAGTACCACTTTCGCAGATAGGGGAAAAAATTCTTCAGTCATCAGAGATTGTAATGCAAAAAAAAAACTAAAAGTCGAAAGTGTCTCTTGAGAAAACTCACTTTTTTGAGTTTAATTTCAACTTTTTTGTTACTTCTCTTATAGGTACGTTATTTTTGAGCAGATATTGAAAAATTTAAGAAAAAATGAACAAATTTCATAAATAGTATAATTTTTAATTTATTAGTACAATAGATTAAAAAATGTCCCAAAAACACACTTCGATCGTTGACGTTAAATTTAAAAAAATCATAACTTCTTTCATTTTTATCAAATAAAAAAAAAATACGTATATCCTTATTTTTCATATAGATTTCGAAAAAAAATGTTTCGGGGAAAAAAAAATTTTTAATGAAAATCTCCCGTGGAATACCCCATATGTTACCCAATAAACGAAAAAAAAACCATAAATTTTGGGACTTTTTTATGGTTTTCATCATAAAAATCAAATTTTTGGGTATTGTCACTATGATTTTCGTAATCAGCGCATCAAAATAGATAAAAGTACGTAGTATAAAAAAAAACCAAAAATATTTTTAAAAATATCAAAAATTCAAAATTTTTTGAAAAATTTCGAAAATATTGTAAAAATCGTTTGCTTATTATCAGGCTAGGCTTAAAAGTTTTGTAATAAGAAGTAGATTTTTTGAAAAAATTTTGAAAAAAATCGAAGAGTACGTCAAATGAGAAAAATTGACATTTTATCATTAAAACTCAAAAATTTGATAGTAATATCGTTTAAAAAAAAATTTCGAGTTTTTTTTTTTGAAAAGTATCATTAAAAACACACATTTTGAAAAAAAAGACTTTTAAAATTGATGCATTTTTAAGGAAGTTATGAGCATTCAAAAATTAAAAGTCATGAAAATTCTCCAATTTTCAAAACTCCATAACTCGAAAACGGCTTGCTAAAAAAATTTGAAAAAATTCACGGAAGCTAGTCTCAATTAGTACTAAAAGAAAAAAAAATCGAAGATGCAATTGCAGATGGACTTACACTTTGGCGTGGAATACTTCATATCTTACCTATTTTAAATAGAGATTCTTGTTTTCTTTCAAATGCAATTATGCGTATGCGCTTTTAATTGAAAACTAATCGTATAAAGCGATAATAATGCACGCGTGGTATATCTTAATTGTCTTTTGGGTTTCTGCGATGTGCGTGATTAATCGGATGCAGATCAATCCAAATTCTTTAAACATAATCTAAGGGCCAACGCACAATAAATTCGCGAAAGATGTTCGTTGATGTGAAGCATTCCAGGCGAGAAAAACCAATGCTGACGATGGATTGAGGCTTGATTGTAGATTGAAGACCCAGCGTGGGTAACCCAGACTGAAAGCTGCCTTTATACCACTGTCAATCAAAATTGGTTCAAGATTGGTTACCAATGCTCGTCTCATGTTGGATTCAAGACTAGTTGAATCCTCATGAGCAAATCTTAGGAGTCCAGTCTAGATTCAATCTTGAATCAACTTTCGACTTAATATTCGCAGCTTAATTCAATATTAATTATTATCTTGTATAAAATACAATTGTATTGAGTAATTATTTATATACGTTCAATAGAAATTAAATATATTTTTTACAATTTTTGTTAATTACAATTTAATATATTTTATAATTATTAATTAATATTATTTTAATTAATATATTGCTATTTATTTATTTCAATGAAAGTATTCTTTGTTTTTTTTTATAAATAAATATTTTATAAATATTATATTTGTAAATACAATAAAAATCATAATAATTATATTCAACACATTTTTGAAAATAATTTCTTTTAATAAATTTTGTTTTTTTAAGATTAGGTATTATAATAATTTATCATCTTTATTATGTATTATTATATATTATAATATACCTATAATATTGTAATAATTAAAGAATTATTATTTAATACATTATAAAGATGATAAATCTTTAATATAACGTAAATAATAATATTTACTATAATTGTATTTTCAAAAATACAAATAATTGAAAATACAACAAATTAAATATTTTCAAATTTATATTATGCTTTTATTTTATATTTTTATTGTATTTATAAATAAATAAGTTATTAATTTAATAAAAATAAAAGTTTATAAATTCATTACAAAGTATTTTTTATTCCATTAATAAAAAAAATGTTTAATATAATTTATTTAAATTAACAGCAATGTGTAAATTAAAATAATTTTATAATTATATTAAAAATATATAAGTAATTAATTTAACGATAAGAACATTTTAAACTATACTTTGAATTTATTTTTACCACATTAAATAATTACAACTTACATAACCGCAATGTTTTTGCATTCTTTAAAATTGATATTTAAAATATAAAACAATGAAAAAATTATTATTTTATAGTTTTCCAATTTTTTGTTTCAATTCCAATACAATAAATTAAAAATATCGAAAAAATATGTACACAAATAAAATTTAAAAAAATGTTTAAATTACATAATAATTAAAAAAAAAAGAAAACAAATGAATTTAAGTTTAATTAAAATCAGAATGAATTGTAATTTAAATTTTCAGAGTGGTTTGACCCAATAGTGGAAAAATTTGAAAGGATTTAATTTAAAAACGATTAAAATTTCAATGAATAAATATTTTAACTTATGAAAATTAAATTTGCTTTAAAATTTATCTATTCAATTTTAAATCAATTACAATTTTTAATATATAAAAGCATTGTTCAAATGAATTAAATTTAAAAAAATTGAAAATTTAAAAAATAGGTGAAATGTGTGACAAAATGTAAAACAGGTGAATTTTTAGAAAAATAAGGTAACAAAATTTCAAAAAGGTAAATTGGTGACATTTTGTAAATAACGTCGTTTAATGTGATTAGAAATAATAAAAATCATGTTATATATCCCAAAAAAAACAGATTTTATTTGGTAAAATTCATTATAAATATTATCATTAGATAGACAATAGTTTACAATAATTTTTACACCACGAACGCAGAAATTACGGTCTTCATAGTAGATGATAATTTTACTGCAATAAAAGAAAAAAAACAGATATTAATTAAAATGAATTTTCAATTTCATATCAACCCTTTGCGTTTAATATTCAATTTCTTAAATTTTGAAAAAATTCAAAATTACATTCATAATTTAAAATTTTATCAATCATGATTGTTGACAAAAAAATTCTTTTTTTTAAATATAAAAATGTTTTTCTACACATTGTTATGTAATAAGAAAAATTCTTAAATTTATAAAATATTTGTTGCCGCAAAGGGTTCATTAATGTTTATTAAATTAATTAATAGAAAAAACATCAAAAACTAAATCTAATAAATATTTTTACTAAAATATGATTATCCAGAATGTCAAAAAATTTTCATATTATCTAAATATTATTGTTTGTTATAAAATTAATAAATAACTTTTTAAAATCTTTTTTGACATATATTTTAAAAGTAAATTTCAATATCATGCAGATGTTTTTAAAAATAATTTGTTATTTGATTTTTTTTTCAAACCTTCTGTCTGTTCTGATTAGAAATAAAGTGCATTTTTTTTGCTTTTAGTATAATATTCATATTTATGATAAATATTTTTATAAGGTATTTTTTTTTAGAAAACAGACAGAAGATTGAAAATTTTAAAAGTATTTAGCGAAATATTTGCAATAAAATATTTCATTGTTACCTCTGTTTATTCGATTATAAAATAAGATGAATTATGAAACGATGATGATTGAAAGCCAGTCATTTTCCCAATGATAATAACAATAATAATTAACGCAAAAATAATCAATTTTTCTACACAAATATGAAACTAATCCATCACCAAAAATAAAAGAGAATTTTACAACAATAATTTAAGATACAAAAGCAGTTACAATAGAAAGCATATTTATAAACTGGTAAAAATTAATTTGTAATGATAGTAAAATATTTCGTTGGTATTTTTGGGGAAAAAAAAAAAGTTAGAAATTTTTTCAAAGTTTTGGGTTTTAAAAATTTTTTGTTTTCTTTATTTTATTTGTTTACTTATCATGTATTTCACTTTATTTATTGTTATTTAAAACTAAATTAATTAAAATTTATTTTTATGAATTTTCAGTTCGATGTTAATTTTTTTCTCTCAATAGCTAATAATAAAAAAAAAAAATTTTTTTATTAAAATATTCATAATTTTTTAATATTTTCTTTTACTTAATTTGTTTTTTGAAATTAATTTAAATATTCTTTTCAATTATTTGTTAATTTTTTTAAATTAATTTTCTTTTTTCAAAAATCAACAAAACTATATGTTAAAAATAAAAATATTTTTCACAATGTAAATTAGTACTTTATTTAACGACAAAAATCACTATCATAAAATAAAAAAAAAAATAATAACTTTAAGAAAAATGTAATGAGTCAATGTGATGTTAAAAGATGAAATGATGTTTATTAAAAAGCTATCAAAGATATTGAGAAAGCTTAAGATTACGATGACATGCTGACCACGTTTAATATAAATATAATGCGACCATTCCATCTTGAGATGTAGCGCAAATGATGAGCATTTGTCTACTTCTTCCCCTAGAATATGAATATAAAAGCATATATCTACATTTGTTGCATGCAAAAAAATACATATTAAAATTTTCTCCGTTATATTTTGTATTTTACAATTTCTTTGTAAAAAAAAACATTCGTCTATAATTTTGTTTTTCTTCCAAATAAAAATAATTCTTCCACATTTATTGAATAACGGAAAAAAGTTTCTTTACAAATTGAATAAATTAATTTAACAGAGATAAAAATAAGATAGTTTTTAAATTTTTCTTTAAAAAATAATTATAAAACATTGATAGATTATGTTTTTATAAGTAGTTCTGAAAGTTCAAATGTATTTTGATATTTTTTTTTTCACTCTAACAAATAACAATAAAATGAAAAAATTTAAAAAAAGAGAAATCCCAATCTATGTAAAAATGTCTTTATACAATTTCAGTTGTATTTTAATTATTATTTTTAAATATTTCATTTTTTTAAATTTGAATATAATGAAGAAATTTCGCTCATTTGAACGTTCAGAGAATAAGAAACATTAAATTTATTTTGTAATATAATTTTTTTTTCAAATACCACGTGCACATTTATGAACCCATGCCAAATGATAATTTTGAAACCCATAAGAATTTTAATATGAACAATTCTTTAAAAGTTTAATTTATAATATTAATTTTTAATTTATAATAAAACAAATTTTTAATTGTAAATATTGAAAATAAAAACAGGAAAAATATTTAATGCATGAATAAATAATACATTTTTTTTTATTAATATCTACTTATAAGTATTTTAATTGTATAATAATTTTTTTAAAACCATTTTTATTTCTAAAACTATTTGTCCGAATTTTTTCGTTTATTTTCACCTCTCTTTATCAAGGTGTCTAACAATTGCTAGGAAAAAAATTCCCTGACTTTTCCCTGATCTAAATTACACTAAAAAAAATTTTATTTTTATGAAATAAAATTTTTTTTTGATACAATTAAATCCATTTACCTGTCTATTATCCACTAATTTCATATGTATTTGAACAAAATAAATAATGTTTCGTAACAAACAAAATATTTAAGTGAATAAATTTCAATTTAACGGAATTTATGTCAAGAAAAATTGCATATAAAGAAAAATTTTTTTAACAGAATTGTTATTTTAGTAAATTTTGACTTATCAAAATATTTATTTAACAAAATTTTTAATTAACAAAGTTTTTATTAAAGAAAATTTTAATTCCAACTAATTCTTATTTAACAGAATTCTCATTTAAGAAAAATTCTATTTAGTTCTATTTTTGTCAATTATTTTATAGACATAAATTTCGTTAAATTGAAATAATATTAATTAAAATTTTTTAAAAACTATTAGATAAAATGCTTTATAAGAGTTTTGCTAAATAGAAATTCTTTTAAATCGAATTTTAGTTAAATGTAAATTGAAAATTTTGCATAATATAAAATCCACTTTATACAATTTTGCTAAATAGAAATTCGATAATTTAAAATTCGACGACGTAAAAATTTTTATAAGTTAAATGTGGGGTATTAGCATTAAATAATAAATTATTCGTATTAATGAATAATTTACTTTATTTGAAGTTGAATCGATAAAATAAAATTGTATTAAATAATTTTTATTTATATTAAAAAATCAAAATATTTCACTGAAAAAAAATTAATTAATTATTATCCAATTTGAAAAAATCATTTATTAGATTCAATAAATAGTAGTAAATAATTATTTACTTAATGAATATAAGATATACACACATGTTTAATAATTGAGTGTTGAGGCCAACTTTTTAATTTGCATTTGCTTTGGGAAAAAAATGTTTTGATACTAATAGTTAATATAATTTATTCATAAAAAATTTCAAGAAAATTAAAGAAAATATTTTTCTATACAAATTATTATTATTTTTCATCTAAAAAATTTTTTCCAACGTTTTTTGATCAATAACCTCCCTGAAGTTGGCTTCGACGCTCAGCGCCGAAAATTGTTTTTCGCAGAATCAAAAATTTCAAATTATTTTTTTTTTAATTTTCCAATTCAAATAATACCTTGAAAAATACTTCTCAAGGCATTGTGTGGACCAAAATCCTTTTTAAAAAATGTTTTGATATTTTTGATTCTGCGAAAAACAATTTTCAGCGCTTAGCGTCGAAGCCAACTTCAGGGAAGTGATCAATAATTTAAAAAAAAAATTTGTAGGCAAAAAATTAGTTATTATTTTTTGAATAAAAAATATTATTTTTTTTCAATCGTTGACCATAAACGTTGCGGACTTCAGCGACGTGTAAATTAAAACAGTAAATTAAATAACTTCTTTTTAGATTTTTAAAACAATATTTTATAATAAAATTCGTACTTAAAGAAGATGCAAAAAAAAAAAATTTTTTGTTCATTTAAACGTTCAAAACCTTTTGGCTCATAAATTCCCTGACTTTTTCCTGACCGTTAGACACCCTGTTTATGCAAATAAAAAATTTGTTTTCAATGTTAATTATTTTTAAAGAATTGTCCTACATGTGAACAGAATGTAAAAATTTAGTAAATTTCACATTTTTAAAATTGGAATATTATTCAAAATAAAAAAATAATTGCAGAGCATTTTTTTTTTATAATACTGAAATTTTTACATTCATAAAATAAAATCACCACCACCACCAAAAAATTCATGCCAAATGGAAAATTTTGTATCGTGTTAAATAAAATTTTCGAGATATAATTAAAAAAAAAAAAATTTTCTTCTTTTTATAATAGATATGTATATATAAATGAAATGATTTAACAAATATTTTAAAGATTTTCCTTACCTTTTTAGCAGCGGCACCAACTTTACTCTTTTTCGTACCCCGGACCTTCTTCATTCTGTTCTTACGTTCCTTCCTCTGTTTCCTGGTTTGCTTCTGTTTCTCAAAGAGTCCATGCCTTGCTAACCTATATTTAGGTTCGAATTTCTTGGCAAAATCCAATGTATCGTAAAGAAGTGCGAAACCAGTTGATTTACCGCCTCCAAAATTTGTTTGGAAACCAAATACAAAAACGACATCGGGTGTGACTTTGTACATTTTTGCGAGTTTTTCTCGAATTTCAGTTTTACGCACCGACGGTTGTCCCGGGTGTAAAACATCAACGACCTGTGAAAAAAATAATTATTTTTTTCATCCATACAAATGAAAAATTTCACTTGTATCGTCAAAGTTTAAAATGGACATATTTTTTCGATAAATCTCAAATAATATAAAATTAGATAAATATATTTATATATATATAAAAAAAAGTAAAAAAAAAACTGAAAATAATTTTAAATTTCGATTGATTGAATGAGCAATTAAAATTTTAATTAATAAATTTGTTTTGAATCAATAAATGCTTTATTGAAATTTGGCGGAAATAATTTTTAAATTTAAAGTGAAAAAAAGTGAATAGTTGATAGAAGTAAAAATTGATTATTTAAGGTTAGGTACAACAGACTAGCGATTTGTAAAAAAAAAAAAATAATTTATTTCTACAAAATATAACAAGAAAATGAAATATATTATTAAACTCACCATTTGTTTTCGGCATAATAGCCGATTGGTCATAAATTTTCTGGTTCTAATAGTAGCGGTTCCCTCGGTCTGCAATTCAATAACATAGCACTTTTAGGTTATGTGTAAACAAAATCATTTTTGTTGTATTTAAAAAACAAAATAGATATACATATTATATTTATTTTTGTGAATTTTTAAACACCAAAAGTATAATTTATAAAAAAAAAATCACACTTTATTAGATTCTATTGTAATTAAAATTATTATTTTTTTCCATGCTTAAAGTGACGTGAAGCCTAAGGGAAAACAACCCAAATTTTCATATTTTTATTTGAAAATCTCAATAAATATTAACACTGTTCACTACACCAGAATTTAATTTCACATTTTATATTAAATTTAACATGAATTTATCAATGATTTTTTATTATTTTTCGGATAAGAAAATACATACCATCTTGTTCGATGTACGTATTACAGAAAAAGACTTTACACCGGAAAAGGTTAGTGCGCATGTGTCTCAAGCCATCGTGAATAAAGCCGGAAGTTTACAGTTGACCAACATTAGAACAAAAAATATTTGAAAATATTAAACGAAAGTTATTATTTTCTCTTCAAAAATAAATTATTATTTATAGATAATATGCCGGTGAACATTTCTCAAACGTATTTTTGTCTCAAAAAAAAACTTTTAAAATCATACTGATATTTGCCTTAATTATTATTATAATTCTAGTTGACCTATTATTCAATCATCAAAATGGTTTGTCACACAATAACGACGGGTTGTCAAGTAACAGGGGCTCGATTGCGGAATTTAACAAAAAAAAAAAAATTTAATTTTTTTCACTATGGGTGTTTTTGGGAGTTGCTGACAGTATACTGACAGTAAAAAATTACCCAATCAGAATAAACATGCTGATGGATCAGCCAATCACAACATACTGACAGTATACTCACAGCAACTCTCGAAAACACCCTATATAAATATTAAAAAAAAATAAATTTTTTGTCTATAAAAAATATAATTTTTTATATGTATTAACAAAAATGAGATTTGCAAATTTTCAAAGTGCGAAACACTGTTAATTAAACTTTGTGTTTTAATACGTATTGGTTTCAGTTATTAATGGTAATGCAATGTAGATATTTATATTACCGGCGTGAAAATATATTATTATATGTAATTTACTTATGTAAATTTTCTATGTATGATTTCTATGTATGTGTAATTTGTGAATCTACGTTTAAAGATTAAAATGTAAAAACTTCTATTTTATTTTTAAAACAGATTTTTTTTTCTTTTAAATAAAGAATCAAATTTTCTTTGAATTTATTAGATCGAATTGTTTCAGATATTTAAATGTTTGTAAGAGGTTTAGGGCCAGTTTCACCAACTGAGTTCAAGCATTGAACGCGTTCATAGTAGAGGTTGAACGAGATCAAGTCTCCGCGCACGTTTCACCATCTACAAAACTACGTTCAACTCGGCTGAACTAAGTTCATTTCTTAAACGGTCGATTTTGGCGGTTTAAGAGAGTTGATCCATGTTTAATTTGCCGAACTCTTCCGAACCTAAGCACGAAGACTTCCGACCTGTCATTCCGCCTTTCGTTTTTGTTATTCTCTTGTGTACTTTTGTTTGTTATAATATTTTGGTGTGAAAAGTGCAGTGCAGTTCAGAAACAAATATATTTATATAAAAATGGCTGTCCGGAGATTGTTTGATGTAGCATTTGATTCGTCTAGTGATGAAGATAACGTTCCTGTGCGTCGACCAAGGTGGATTCGTGAGCGAAGTCAACATTTTGATGATTTTGACGATTTAGATTTTGAAACTCGATTTAGACTTTCCAAGGAGTCTGCTCTAGATGTTTTATCGCAAATAGAAGATAAATTGGAATTTCCAACTGACAGGTATTTATCCATAAAGTGTATGATAATTAATTCAAGCGGATAAATGAGGAAAATGAGGGAACTTGTTCCTAACCTAAAAATGTATTATTTTTTTATGAATAATTTTATTGATATTAGTGCGTATTTCTGTATAAATGTTTAATTGCAATTTTAAGCAAACTTTATTAGTTCTTCTTTAAAACGTATATTTTTTTCCAATTTCTGTTTTAACATTTACCATAAATTGCCATAAATTAATTCATTATAATGTTTGTAACAATTTTAAAGTATTTTTAGAATTTATATATTTACATATATATGTAAATTATTTACATTTTCCGTTATATCAGGAATCATGCTGTGTCTCCGATGAATCAATTACTGTGTGCTTTGCGATTCTATGCGACTGGTTCAGATCAGCTATCCGCAGCTGATTTTGGTGGCTTCAGTAAGTCTACGGCTCATAGAATTGTGCATCGAGTAAGTGGTGCAATAGCCTCTCTCTACAAAACACATATTGTATTTCCCGAAAGAAACAACGAGATAATGAGGACTCAAGCTGGATTTTATAGGATTGCAAGTTTCCCAAAAGTGATAGGCGCAATTGACTGTACCCACATCAAAATAAAATCTCCAGGTAAATTTTTATCAACTCACTAATAGTGGCTTATTTTAATAAAAAATAAATTCTTTACAACATTAACTTGTTGAACTTTCAAAAAAGTTTACTGTTTTCGAAATATAAGTATTTGTTTAGAAGAAAATGCAAAGAAATGTATTTTTGTTTTCTATAAACATCTATCTTTAAAATAAATTTTTTTTATTAATTGAATACTTCAACATTTTGCAGTGTGCTAATTTAAAAAAATTTTTTAACATGCTTCTGGAATTGTTTGTAATAGGTGGTCAGAATGCAGAAATATTTCGGAATCGCAAAGGATATTTTTCACTGAATGTTCAGGCGATTTGTAATTCGAATTTAGAATTCTTGGATATTGTGGCGAGGTGGCCTGGAAGTTCACATGACAGTACAATTTTTAACAACTGCTATCGCCGGGCCTTATTTGAGGAAGGAAGATTTGAAAATAGTGTGCTCGTTGGAGATTCTGGTTATGCATGTCGATCATACATGATGACCCCCTTGGATACTGCAAGAACTCCTCAGGAGCAATTATACAATGAGTCTCAAATACGAACAAGGAATCCAATTGAAAGGACATTTGGAATTTGGAAACGTCGATTTCCAGCAATGGCATTAGGAATGCAAGTTCATTGGGAGAAAACCTTTCCAATTATAGTTGCTACAGCTGTATTACACAATATCTTGAGGAGAGCAGGTGAAGGATTACCACGTGATGATCCAGACCTAAATATTCCTGCTCCGTGGGATGTGTTAATGCAACAGGGTGAGATGGGTAATCTCGTTCAAGCTGAAGGAGGAAGAAGGGTTCATCAAAACCACCAAGACAGACTAAATCTTGTAGAAAATTACTTTGGAAGGTATTATAAATTTTTTATATATATTTTTGTACTGCAAAAGGAAAAAATCTGTAGTAAAATATATAAATTTTTTCAGAATGGCAAGAAATAATGAAAGAGCACGATAATGTTAAACGTTATCGTAAATCCGTGCTTTTAAGGAGTACCGCAAGAATTGTACATAACATTTACGAACTTCCAAGTGATTGTAACATTAATCGAATTTAATTTGGATTTTCAAAATTTCATATGAAGCCCATAATATGAAATACTAATTGTAAATATAAAGAATATTTTTCTTATAATTTTGTGGCTAATAATAATAATTAAATAGTCATTCAACGGGTAATGTAAATTTAAGAACCGGATTATTAAATAAAATGCCATTTGATAACTTTTTCTATTGCTTTATTTATCACACAATTTAAGTCACAAAACGTTCACACCTTGGGTACACAAATTTTCGACAGGAAAATTTATTTTGGAGAAAAAGAAACAGATATAAAGTCTGTTTCTTTTACTCCAAACTGAATTCATTGACTATTCCATGTTTGGATCTAGCCATTCTATGTCCGACTTATCGCATTTTTCATACATCTCTGCATTCAGGATGCGAGTTTTCAATTTTTCCTGACATAAATGCTCTTGTAGGATCTGCATTTTAAGGCTGTGCTCCTCTTTTATGTGCAGCATATTCAACTCGTGTTGCTCCTCGGCGATTCTTAAGGTACTTTCTAAAGTTTTTATTTTAGCCTCATTCGTGGATGGATCAACTACTTTTTTCGGAAGCACCGGCCTCCTTCTGCTCATTCTTTCAGAAATGAACGACATTTTTTTTCCTGCTTCCGGTGTTGATAGTGTGGTTGATTGTGTGGTTTCCTCAGATGGTACATACTCTGAAACGTAAGCCAATTTTTTTAAAATTAGGTTTACCAGATTCGATATTATTGATTATAATAAAGATTATTTGTAAATTATACGATTTCTTTCCTTTTATTAATCTTACCATGATATTGCTTGTCATTTGTAGAATCAACTTTCAGAGCCTGGCTAATCGGTTGTCGTAGCATCTGGGGGGTGTATCGAGACCAATCCTTCACAGTTTCAGTCTGGAAACAAAGATTAGATATTATTTCTTGTCAAAAGTCAAACGTTTCATTTCATGACTATATTTTGTCATTACCTCTTCATCTTTTTCGCCATCTGCGTTGCTTTCTTGCATTTCATCATCTTCAAATGCAGATGGGTCCAATATTTCGGCATTAGACTTGACTACATAACATAAATTAATTTTTATAATTATTCATAATAAAATACAAAATATTTTTAATAAATCTATTTCTTTTTTTTTATCTATTTGTTTTTGTGAATAACGAGGTTAGGTTGAAAACTTACAAGGTGACGTTAAAAATGAAGAATCTCCATCATAGGTGTTGTTGAATCCTGAAGCTGTTGCTTGCAGCAAACCGAGAACTCTGTCACTTTCAGGATCTTCTTTAGGTTTATTAAAGGGACCACCACCTACATTGAAAAAAATTTTACTTTAGTATTTCCTGTAACTTTGAGGTTATTAAATATACATACATACATAAGCAAAATATTTATTACAAAAAACCCTGTGATTTCATGTTATTCTGCATTTAAACCATCCTAATAATTTTATGTAACATATTTTATTTTACATAAAAGTCAAATTAAAGAACAATTTTTATACTGTTTATACTTTCAGTACACTTTAGATTTAAATTAATTACAATTTTAATTATAAAACACATTCGTCTGAATCAAGTGTATATAATAAATAAAACAAAAACTTTCATTTTGCAAAAACACAAAGAAAGGTATTAATTATTATTAATGATATTAATTAATTTCCGAAACATATCAGTTTTTATTTCTTTTTAATTTATTCAGTATGTTTGTTTATATTCAGAAGTGTCAATTTCTATTGCAATTAGTAAACAAATCTAACGTGTAACTTTGAGGTTATGAAATGTACAAACCTGTTTTGAAGGTTTGCAGTTTTCTTTCTGCAGCATCTTTCTTGACTCTCTTTTTAATATTTTCCCACGACTGTTTGAGAAAACTAGCTTCTCGATGATGTATGCCCGATATCACATTAAATCTATCACATATCTTTCTCCATTCCTCTTTCTTCCTGTCTAAACTGACACCATCAGTTTTCCTACAATCTATTATATGACGATGATCCTGGATTATCGTCAGCAGAGCCTCTCGCTCGCTACTGAGCAAATTGGGCTCTCTAGTCCTGATTTTTTTATCCATTGGAACTTTAAAATTCATTATTTTAACAAAAAATATAATTATACAATGTTACACTGTATAAACACAAAACTGAATTCAGGCGGCAAAACGGCTAGGGAATGCTAGGAAGTATGGATTAACTAAACGCGATCACCTTAAACTACGATTAGACTGGTGAAACGTACGAGCGATCAACTCTGACGATCAAGAGATGAACTAGGTTAGTTGATCCGAGGTTAACCGACCGTTGGTGAAACTGGCCCTAACTCATACATTTTAGGGGAAAAGTTGTGAAACGATGATTGGTCCTTCCCCTATGCTAATAAAATGTTGGAAGTAGGGATAGAAAAGTGGGGGTTTTTTGCTTTGGGCCTTCATCACTGACACTCGAAAGATTTGTGAAATGTGAACCTGAACAGTATTATTTTAAACTTTCGGGGGTGAACAACTTTAGAAGAAAATCCGAGAAACCGTGTTTAGAAGCAAAAATGAAATTAGTTCCACGAAAAAGGATAATCCTCAAACAGAATCGATTGAAATTACTCCTATTACTGGTAACTATTCTTTTCATTTTTTTATTCAATTTATCTCTACATTTTATATTTTTATAATTACTTGTTGATAATGTTAACCGTCATTTTCTTTATAAAGTAAACACAAAAAAAAACTTTTGTTTCCATATTTAAAAGGCTGCGTCTAGTAGTCCGTCTAGACGGATGAATTTAAATTGTCCGTCTATAGACGGATAATATAAATTGTCCGTCTAGTGCCAGTATTTACTGGCACAGTAGACGGATGAAATATTTTTTGTTAAAACTGTCCGTCTACCCGTATATATTTATATAAATATACATACATATAAACATTCAGCGCGAAATTCAAACTCTTTAAAGTTTAAATCGAAATTTTTTTTCAAATGATATTACATACCATTAAATTTTGAAGTTATAAAGATGAAAAGTCATTTTTCTTAATTGACGTACTGATCGATTTTTTCAAAAAAACTACTTCCTTTTATGAAAATTTTAAGCCTAGTCTGATCGTGGGCAAACAATTTTTACAATATTTTCGTAATTTTTCAAAATTTTTTGAATATTTTAAAAATATTTTTGGTTTTTATACTACGTACTTTTATGTATTTTGATGCGCTGATTACGAAAATCTTAGTGACAATACCCGAAAATTTGATTTTTATGGTGAAAACCATAAAAAATGTCCTAAAGTTTATGGTTTTTTCCTTTATTGGGTAAAATATACAAAAAATTTAAAAAAATTCATAAGATATAAAAAAAGTATTTTAATAAGATCTATACCTTTTGTCGGGTAAGGATACTACTAAGATTTTCGTAATCAGCGAATCAAAATACCTAGTCTTAGTCCACGATCAGACTAGGCTTAAAATTTTCGTAAAAGGAAGTAATTTTTTTGAAAATTTTTGAAAAAAATCTATCACTACGTCAATTAAGAAAAATGACTTTTTATCTTTATAACTTCAAAATTTAATAGTAATATTATTTGAAAAAAATTTCCATTTTTTTTAAAGTACGTTTAAAAACATACATTTTGAAAAAAAACTTTTAAAATTGATGCATTTTTAAAGAAGTTATGAGCATTCAAAAATTAAAAGTCATGAAAATTCTGCAATTTTGAAAATTTCATAACTCAAAAATGGCTAGCTAAAAAAGATTTTTAAAAATATAAAAAAAAAATTTTAAAAGCTTCTATAGATTTTGAATTACAAAATAAGAAAAAAATTTGGTTTTTTGTTTTAAGTCAAAAACTGAAAAAGATTTTCTACCGGCCTTACACTTCTGCATAAAAAAGGGTTTTTGTAGATCGACTGTCTTTGCCGCAATTTTAATTGTTTTACCTTATGAAAATAATTTTTTAATGTATTAAAATTAAATTTTAATATGTACTTAAAAATAATATATAATTGATTTTTTAATTCTGTTCTTGAAAAAAAATCTTAAAAATGGGTCTGATTTTCGGTCTTTACAGTGGTCTAACCCCTTAATATTTTAATTAGTAAAATATTCAATTTAATGTATATAGTTTTGATTTTTTATAATAAAATTACCTTTAACGGTTAGCAGTAACTATTTCTTATAAATATTTATTTTTTTATTTTGAATCCAATTGGATGAGTTTTTTAAAGGCGCGTGGCAGGACCTTGTTAGTTGGATCGTGACTTATTATTAATAATTATTTTCTTAAGAGTAGACGGACAAATTTTAATCCATTTATTTCATCCGGATACTGTCTGATACTTTTAACAGTAATGCCAGTATAATAGACGGACAAAAATATTTATCCGTCTAGACGGACGACTAGCAGTAATTTCGTATCCGTCTAGACGGACGACTAGCCACTTCGTATTTAAAAATACATTTATAATAAAAAAATCTTTTATTCTCTATAAATTTAATTTTGTTTATTAGAAAAACGTATACCTTACATTGAAATGAATTTATTTACCTACCTATATGTATTATATTTACATTTTACATACATATTGACTACTCACTGTTAACCGGAATAATCATACATACAAAAACGTTTTAAAATTCAGGATTAGAGAAAAAAAATTTTTAACCTTCTGAAGAGTTTCTATAAGTTGGACGAAAAAATTTTTTATTTTTGACGCATCTATTATAGAAACTTAAAATCGTGGATTGACGGTACTTAAGTATATCACTGTTTGTTTTAAAAAAAATTAACATTTTTATTTTTTTTATATAATACGTATTTTTTCCGGTTAATAATATTAATGAACTACTATTTATGCATTTTTATTCATTGCATTGAAACGAATTAATTGATATTTTTCTTAGTTTATTAAACGTAATAAAGTGACATATTTTTTCTTACATGAAATTTATTAATAATTCAAATTATAAGGTTCAGGACGTTATTTTGTAACCTTTTTGCAACAAAAATATGACATATGTTACATTTTAACATATTAACTGATAATAAAAAATAACAACGTTGACAATTTTTATATTCGTTTTAAAAATTAATCTAAATGATATTATTTTAAAAAATAAGTGGCATTATAGTTTTCGAAGAAATGATTTATTTATGCGTGTTTGTCATTAAAATTTTCTGAATATTTATTTTTAGAATCGTCTCGTTTTAAAAGTAAAAATGTCAAAAAATTAAAAGTGACATTATATAAATATTATTTTTAAAAATAAATTGTTTTAGTTTCACTGCAAATGAACAATTATTTTTATTTTTTGTGAATGTTAATTTTATTATGTATAGAAATAAATATATTGTGAGTGAATTTTGTGTAGAAGAATTAATAAACAATATCAATATTTTTCCATCTTTACATTTAGTAAATATATTCTTTTAATTTATTATATGTATCGTAAATATTTATCTTTGCTTGTTATTATTTATAACATTTTTTTAATTTCTAAAAAAAAATTAATGGTGTTTTTATTATTTGTAAGTCATGTATAGGTATTTTTTAACTATATAAGGAATGATAATTTCATTCATAATTCCATTCACTACTTTCATGCGAAAATGGTACTTTTAGTATACTATCTGCAGATAAGGGAAAAAATTCTTCAGTCATCAGAGATTGTAATGCAAAAAAAAAAATTTTTAATCGATAGTGTCTCTTTGATAAAACTCACTTTTTAAGATTAATTTCAACTTTTTTGTTGCTTCTGTATAGGTACGTTATTTTCGAGCACATATTTGAAAAATTTGAGAAAAAAATGAACAAGTTTCATATACAGGGTGTTCCAAAAGTATGGAAACTTGCAAATATCTCGAAAAGTACGAATTTTTGTAAAATATGTTCAAGACAAAAGTTGTTCCAAACAAAAAGATGTACATTTTTGAAACCAAAAAATTGGGCCCGGAGCCCAATGTTGGGCCCTACAATCATTGATACTGAAAATTAGTGGTCTCATTTAAGAAAACCACTTTTTCCATTGAAGGGCCCAACATTGGGCTCCGGGCCCAATTTTTTAGTTTCAAAAATGTACATCTTTTTGTTTGGAACAACTTTTGTCTTGAACATTTTTTACAAACTCTCTAAATCTGAATTACTAAAAATGTTTACTAATTTAAATTAGTAACTCACTTTTTGCTTTAGAATTAGTTAAATTTTACTAATTGTTAGTAAAATTTAACTAATGATTAGTAAAATTTTACTAATTCAGAAGCAAAAAGGGAGTCACTAATTCAAATTAGTAAACATTTTTACTAATTCAGATTTACAGAGAAAATTCGTACTTTTCGAGATATTTGCAAGTTTCCATACTTTTGGAACACCCTGTATATCATAATTTTTAATTTATTAGTACAATAGATTAAAAAATTTTCCAAAAAGACACTTCCTTCGTTGAAGTTAAATTTCAAAAAATCATAACTTCCTTCATTTTCATCAAATAAAAAAATAAAAAAAATACGTATTTCCTTAATTTTCATATAGATTTCGAAAAAAAATGTTTCGGACAAAAAAAAATTTTGAATGAAAATTTCCCATGGAATGCCCCAAATGAATGTAAATAAAAAATACTTGCAAATTTAGATAAAAAAAATGTTTACTATAATTGAGTTATGTGTCCTTCTTTGATCCGGCTGTTCAATTATGTTAATAATTCTTCTATACACAAAATTCGCACATTACATTATAATTAAGTTACCGTACTATTCATCGAGGGGAAATTTACTCAGGTATAATTACGATTCTGGAAGTTAAATATTCTGACAACTGCTAATTTGGAAAGTTAAATATTTTGACAACTGGAGTTTCGTCAAGTTCAATATTCTGACAATTGGAATTTTGGAAGTTAAATATTATGATAAATTAGATATTTTGACAACTGGAGATTCGGGAAGTTAATTATTTGGACAAATAGAAATTTGCAAAGTTAAATATTCTGAAAAATGGAGCCCAAAAATGTTGGAATCAGTTAGCAGAAGATATAATAAAAAATATCGTAAATGGCTCAAAATATACACATGTTTTGAAGTTTAGGGGTGGTTTTTGGCTTTAGGGGTAGAGCCCAAAAATCGGGATGGCTGTTTTAAAATTCGTCCGTTATTTTAAATTTTTGAAAACGGACTGCAGATTCGTAATCAGCGACCTCGAAAACCCCCGACTAACGAGGTTTAAACGAATCCGATGAATTTTTTTAAAATTCGTCCGCCATATTGGATCCGCCATTTTGAATTTTTGAAAAAGGAATGCAGATTCGTAATCAGC